CCATTTAGGGTGTATTTCACATGAGATATGGAGTACTTCAGTGTGATTGTCCCTGTCTCAGTCCTTTGACAGCAAAGACCTTTAGTAAGTCTCACTCTGACTGAAATCTACCTTTGAGGTGGGAGGCGGGGTCTTAGCAACAGACAGGAAACATAAGTTATGACCTTTTAACATGTTTCATGAATTATGTGCTCTGTAAAAATAATAGCGTACTCTAATAATTGATAGACAAAATCCAAATTAAACTTGCTGGCAATGGGATTGATTCATGGCCTACTGAAATCAGTGGAAAGACTCTAGTTAATCTAGGTTGTTATATGCTAATGGAGAGAGGCAGTCGTTATTGTAAAGGAGATGGAAAGCTTCTGCATGCTGTTCGTGCTTCTATATTTTAAAGGCTCACTCAAAACCTGGGTGCCTGCAGGCTTGGCGAGCAGCTCTGGCTGCTTCGAGTTGTCTCAAGCACAGTATGTTTAATGCAACTGTCATCTCAGTATTAAAAAAGGCAAAATTTATATTAAAGAAAAAGGGGAAGGGGGAAAAATGCAACCCTTCAGCTTGTATGGCAAAAGTTTGCAAAACAGACTGAGTCTTCTGAATTTCCCAATCCATTACATAACAAAAATGCATGAACTGTGTGATTAAGAATACTAAGTAGTGAGTACAGAAATCAGTTCTGTTTAGTGAGGATTCAAATCCCCTTGAGGCTTTAAAATGTTTTTAAGGTCTAAGGAGGTGGGGGGTTGACATCTCTTCTATAAATGCTCAGAATTACTGAGCACAGGGGATTTATTTAACCAGGAAACTTACATTATTGAGATTAGACATCTCATTTTCAAGGTGCTCCTGGAAGATAATGACTCCTATACCCATAATTCACTGTAGACATCAGTTTTGTCTGGTAATATATAAATGGGCCTGAAGATAGAAGTTAGCAGTTTTCACTCTATGTTGCAAAACAGAATTAGGTATTGGTAACCTTAAAAAAAGTAAGTATGGGTCAAATTCTCTGGAATTCAGTGGAGTAAATACAGAAGAGATTCTGGCCCGCTGACTTTGCTTCTGAAAAACACACTTTCTCTTTAACTCAGAGGCAACACAAGTACACTTTTTCAGTAATTTGTTCAAAATTATATAGGTAGAAAAATATGTAAGCTCTCTAATGCAGGCAAAAGAATGATATGATTGTTCCTGGAAGGAACAGGTTGCTTTATGGTGTGACTGGAAATAATAGCTTACAATAAAGACCAAGATAGTGAGTTACACTGGAAACACAATGCACTTTTATAATCTGGTGGTTGGACCTCATAGTCATCCTGGCAAATTTGAGGATTAAAAGCCATGTCCCTGGCAGCTATAAGTGTTTCAGCTACTGCTTCCTCATGTTACCTTCCATTTCGTCCCATGCTTGCTATCTTAATAGTGTGTACAACCAGCAGAAAAGTGAGAAACCTTAATTCCATTAAAGTCAATGGGAGTATTGCCAATGACTTCTGTAAAGCCAGATTATCATGCAGTTTATTTATTTATTTATTTATTTATGTTGGAGAGGTGTTTCATCTAATCTCCCCTTGTTTTTTGGTTTGAGCTATTAGATGTTGGACTTCTTTTATTCCTCAGCTGAAGCACGCAAGATTGCTTTGTCTGAATTTAACCTAAAACAGCCCTACACCTGACATTTTAACCTTTTCATATATTTGGCTGAGTCACTACCATACTGAATGGATTATTACATGAGTTGAAATTGCATCTGTATGAAGGGGGTCAAATGGTGAAAAATTTGGGTTTTTTTCATAGATCTAAAAACCATTCCTTTCCTACTTTTAATTAGTTGCTGAACATATAAAGAGGAAATGAAGAAACCACTTTAAATTGAAAGGTATTTTTGAGAAAAATCAATGTGGTTTAAAGAATCAGATTTTTAGTTCGCACTTCATGGGTTCATTCCAAACTAGTAAGTAACGTGTAATTTAGAGCCAATGATGGGAATTTTTCATTCTGGAACAGAAAATGCCATACTCCCATATCTTAAAGTAAGTGTTGTCTATGAGATCTAAAATGGAGGTTTCTATCATCTGAAGAAGTTTTAGGGACTTCTCGCAACAGACAATGGTAATCCCTTTGTTTTGTGACAGTAATTCCTCTGGAACAAATTGTGGCCTAGCAGCATAGTGGTTTGAGGTATATAGGGTGGATCTATAGAAGCACAAGGCTACCTTCATCATGGATAGCAGCTCAATAAGGAAAGCAGACTGGATAGAACTGCCGTTTTACTTCCTCCTGGAAATGGACAGGAGAGAGTGAAATGGACAAGCACTTTCTCAAAGTTTTCCTGGTGTGTCAAGAAATATATGCTGAACTGGATAAAGACTTTGCATGACTGCCTTCTGAGACACTCAGTCCTGATGGCTTGGGAACAAGCTATAATAACATATATCTAAGTGAATTGTGGCAAACCCTCCCTAGTTCAAAAGAAAGAAAAAAAAGCAATCTAAATTAGAGAATTTCCTGATAATATTTTGTGAGAAGAGCTACAGGTGGGTAAATTGAAGAGCCACTTGTGGTTCAAGAGTCCCAATTTGAGTATTGCTAGCTAACTCTCTCCCAGGAGCAACAGAAGTAGCACGCACACTTTAAATGAATCACAAAATTATTTGTGGGGCAGTCCTGGAGAAACGCAACAATGCACACATGCCATTGCTGCTTATGTCAGGCTCATGGCAAAGTCACAATTGAACCTTTTATCTGCAGCAAGTGAATGAACAACAAGTCATAGGAAAGTAGGGATTAAAGGACTCTCAGGAGATTATCTACTGTCTAAATCATCCCAGACAAGTGTTTGTCTAACCTGTACTTCAAACATTTTTGTTGCTCTCTGCTATATGCTTTCCAGTTGGTCCACATCTTTCATGAAGTATGGTACACAAACTGGACAAAGTACTCAAAGTGAGGCCTTAACAGTGCTGAATAGAGTGAAAGAATCATTTCCGTGATTCATGTGCAACACTCCTTTTAATACAGGATTTTTTTTTCAGTAGCACACTGTTGCATCATATTCAGCTTGATGACCACTCTGTTTCCCAGGTCTTTCCTGTAGTGCTGCAGCCACACCAGTCTTTCCCCAGCCTCTACTTGGGCATTTGATCATTCTGTCTGAAGTGCATTACTTTGCACTTGACCTTATTGAATTCCACTTGATTTATTTCAGACATTTTTTTCTAAGTATCAAGGTCATTTTTAATCCTAGAACTGAGCTTGATGCTGTCTGTAAATTAATGCTTCCTTCAGTCTTCCCAGGCATTAATGACCATGACCACTTTTTGTAGTACATAGATATGTACAGTTTTGTACAGTTCAGTTGTTTTAGTTAGTTGCTAGTACTAAATTTGCTGATCTTCAGTGTTCTGGGGATAATTTAGGTCTGTTTCCAAAATTGCAAGGAGAATATTAAATAATAAAGAAAAAGATGGTATTTGATAATCACACTCTTAACTAGACATAGTGAATATGGTGGCATTTTTTTAATCATCCTAAGCATAGGCTATCTAATGTTCTGAGCTACTGAGCAGTAGTAAAAAAACTCTGGCTTCTCTACTATTCATTCCATCCAGGAAGAGCACACACCAACTGCAGAGACTTCCTCAGCCTAATGAAGGGTTTTTAAACCCAAAATCTTGCAAAAAAAATTTTCCCACTATATAAGTTGGTCTAATAAAAGATATCAGATTCACCCAAAGAACCTTGTCTGCCAATGTCTTTAGACCAACATAGCTACAACCTACACCCTTGAGCAGTAGTAACGAGCTACTGCAGTCAGCATCTTGTATAGACATGGCCATTACATGAGGGTTCAGATGAAGGCACTCCAAAGCAGAGTGTTCTCATTAACTTGTGTCTACACAGGCTGGGCGCAGGGCTTGACTGACACAGCCCAGCACTGCTCCTGGTGCTGTTTTCAGAATGGGAAGTGGAGAAAGGAGAGTAGAGAGCTCATTTTGGGGGTTGCCCAGCTGGCACTGGAGGGTGGGGTGGGTAGATTGGAGCACCCCACCTCAGGGAAGGAGCTCCAATCCACCTCCCTATTATAGGTATGGGAAGGGAATCAGTGGGTTGGAAGAAGTGTAGTACATGAGGTGAACTAATGTTAAGTGATTTTTTAAAAAACAATTTAAGACTGATTATGAATTTCCTCTTATCTTTTTTGGGTCAATATTGTTATATTCTGTGATAAATGAACTCTTTGGGGCAATTAACTGTTTTTATTTATCCCAGTAGGTATGATAATATGGGCTGTTATCTTTCTCTTCTCTAAGATTGCTTCTTCCCATCATTCTGTCACTCCTGAGAGCCCCAGCATCTACTGTGGCTTCTCCGTTGTCCTTAACTCCGCGCTCTTTCTTGAGTTCCTGATTTCCAGGGTTTTCTAATAAAAAAATTGATCCTTTGAATGGCAGTCTGCATTATCAATTTATCACAATGCAAGTTTCCTACTTGGTAATGAGTCTTTTATGTGTTGCTTAGAAATCATAATTTATTTCCTGTTTCATTCTCATATTTATTATTTTAGTAGGTGCCTATATTTGACCACCTGTTTAGGTCCCTAAATCAGATGTGTCCATTTAAAAATGGGGTCTATAGTGTCTCCTATTATACCATTTTTCTGTCTACAATAAATGCATTTCCCTAAAAATTCTATGTCTACGTGTCAATAAGTGAAGGTAGTAAGATGCCTTGAAGTTTTTTGCATATTTCATTACTTTTACACAGAAGTAGCTTTATTTGCACTGTTTTGATCAACTAAATGGTAAAAGTAACCAGGAAAATACTGTATTTTCTTAGTTCCTCATAAACAGTTGCACCATGCTTTGTTTTCCTGGTAAACATTGTTCATTAATTTAGGAAATGGTTTATGGCCCAGACAAGCCTATCTCATTTGATAATGGGCTCTGATTCCAGTGGATTATTGTAGGGATTTTATCTTGCAGTAATCTCCAGGGAGAAATGTACAAACAGCTGGGAGGACAAGAAGGAGCTTCAATTGTGTGGCTGGAATTCCTTGAAACAGAATTTTGGAGCTTCTCTGCAAAGCAAAATGAATCTTTTCTGTTTTTCACTGGTAAGTCTGCTAACAGCTATGCTTTGTGACTGTAAACAAAACTGAGGCATGAGACTGGACTGAGGATAGAAGTTAAAGGTGTTATGAAGAGAAATGTGTTTCTAGGCAAAAAGGAAGGAGTATGAGTATAAAAAGCTCCACATTGAGTGATAAGAACCAGTGGAAAGGAAAGGAAAGACTTGGGGATTTTGAAGATACACTTTGTCTCTGATAACCGTAAACATTTGGATTTCAGAGAACAAAACATTTTATTTTTGCCTCCACAAAAAGAAGATGTTTCTTATCAGTGTCTAAATCATTAATTAAAGTCAAATTTGATTTAATGAATTGAACTGCTCTGATACAGTCATTTATGAGTTACTTCAGGAATATTAATACTTGCACCTTTCTGTCTAAGAACAACTACAGACCTCTTTCAAGATAAGTATCCTATTAGCAAAGTATAGCCTGCTGAACTGTACTAGACATATAACTATGTTTGCTGAAGGATATCAAAATTGCTTGCAGTACCTCTTTGAGATTTTTTCCTCTTTCTTCTGAGAATTAGTACATAGAAACAGACTGGGAAAATCCATGGAAACTGCTTTTCTTTCCAATGGATGACCATCTGCCAGTGCAAATATTATGTATTACTATTGACAAATAAATTAGTATATTTGCGGTACTTACATAGTACACTAAATCCATTTGCCACTTTCACTTCTTTTGTCCAGATGTTCCATGTATCTCCCCAGTATGTTCAGAAAAAAGAACAATATATGTTGGAATGAGACATGATGCTAATATTAAGTATCAGTGGTATATTTGTGTAAACTGTGGTTTCTGTTTCTTAATTCTCTCTCAGTACAGAATGGCAGCATTCTCCATACATAAACTTTTAAAACTACTTTTAGCATCCTATCAGTAAAATAAAGCAGAAATGTAGGACTTTTTATTACTAAATCTCCCTCATGAACAACAGTAATTCTGTAAGAATCTAGCAAAATTTTTGTCTCACTTTAATTTGAACTCCTTTGTTTTTTTATCAAAAGTTTTTAAAAAAGGATGGGTACATTATGTAGTAAAGAATGGAAGATGCATATTTTTCTATTAGGTTGGATATTTCTCATTTAGTGTTGTTCTCATTATATGCGTGTCAGAAACAATAATATATCATTCATATATGTGAACATCAGTATTCATGTAGTTTTGTATGAAATTGTTTGTCTAAAGACTGATTTTCAGAAGTTAACCTTTATTCTATACATCCTCTGTTTGAGCCACTCTGGAATAATCTTTTGAACAGTTGGCAAAACATCTTACATTATATCAAAAACTGTAATAAAGAGAATCTATGAGTTGCTAATCCAGATATACTGCTTCATAAAAACCATGTGCACTTATCCCTACTAGGAAGATGAAGTGCAATTCTTTGCTATAACTGCACTGTCCAATTTGAAAATGGGTCACTGGTACAACCATGTCCACCTAAATGCTTATATACCCTTACATGGTTGATTTTTCAAGTTTTATTTGCCAACAAAGCAATTGGTGTATCAAGATTGGCAACAAAAGGGTGAAAAAGTCCTCTTTCTCCCCTCCCTGATTTGTGAGAGACATGGAAGTAAAATAGATAGTATAAAAATAATTATGATTTTAATCTGGGCCATATAGTGTACTTCATGCAGAAATATGGTTTAATTGATTATTTGAAGGTATGGATCAAGAATTGCTTTCCAAAAGAATTGCTTTCCTGGCACTGATGTATTTATCCCATGCGTGCACTGATTGGTAAAGCATTTGGTTGAAAGCGTCATATATACAAACATTATTTGCAAACATTTATTTATGTGGAAGTTAAGAAATAAATACACTACCCATCAAGGGAAGGAGATAAATTGTGTCATATAGGTTGTAGGAAACAACCAAACCAAGTTGTATTGTTTTCAAATTATTTGGCTAGCAACTTGATTAGTATAAAGTTGTGGAGTGCTATGCAAGTCATTGGCTCTACACCAGTTGATATCAGCTGATGATCTAGATCATGCTTCTTCATTTCAGCTTCTCTTTGTGCAACTGAGATAGATATTCATAACACCACACCTAACGCCTGATCCTCCAATGTGCTGAGTATCAGGTGGAAATGACGAGGCTTGAAGACACGCAGGACATTGCAAGGTTGCGATTTAGCACTGCTGTGTTACCAGGTGGATTTGTCTACCTGAAATAGGAATTATTATGCATTCAGCTCTTTCATAAGTGAATAGGGACACAAACACCTGATTTGTTTGTGAATATCCTGAGATTAAGATGAGTCTAGTGAGAAATTAATCTCAGTTGAGAAACCAGTTAAGTCATTTTGAGTAACATTCCACCATATGAGACAAAGGAGAGGACACTTTCAGTGCATCACCTCTATTAGTGTATGCATGCTCAGGGAATTGTATTTCATTTCTGGAAGGTGGTTCCTGATTTCAGTATTTCTGTTTGTGATAAAACAGCAAAACCGCTTTAAAGTATGGAGTGCTGAGGGGTTCTCACCCCGTGTTGACTTGTGGCTTTCAAAACTTAATTAAGAAAATTCATCAGCATGGTTAAATTTCTGCCAATCTGAACATTAGCATCACTAATCAGGCTAGGGGAAAAACAATTTTA